AAAAAGCTAATCTTTTTAGTGCCTTGTTTGAAAAATATCTGTAGGTTAGGGAACAGAAGTGGGAATGCATGAATTACCTGCAAACGTATTTTTGAAAGTTTTACTTTGTGAGGAGTTCTACAAGGTTAATTCTTTTATTAGAGAAATTCGAGTTTATTTAGTTCATCTAGTAAAATGGTCGCTATTTTTCAGTTGGGGATTCAGCTTTTCTGCTTCATTTTCTTAGGCTTTATGGAATTTTTTCATTTCGTTGAACTTTAGAGGGACAGTATTGTAGGAGAAAAGCGGAGGTATAATATCTCATTTGGAACAGTTTAGACGTCGTAGGTAGAAGATTACTGAAAGGAAAAAAGAATATGAAAGCTATATCTAAATTTTACTCTGCGTTTAGCAGTCGTTATTTTGGCTGGCTACCTCTTTGTGCTATTGCCGTCAGAACTTTTTAGCATATTTTTACTGTTTTTGAATTAAGTTTTCTTTTGGAAAACATAGGTGGTTCTTTAATAGCGTTCTTGGAAAGGCTTAGAACGGGTGGACTAAGCTTTTGATTGTAGTTACTTGTTTAATCCTAAGTGATTTTTGGCTAATGTAGGTTGGTTCTCTATAATCTCTTCTTGGAATTCTGCTGATACTTCTAACACAATCACACTGGAAAAACTGCATTCATCTAAATAGAAGGCAGAGTCGAAAGCAAACTATATTATTATTTTTTTAAATAGCAATTTCGCTTTTTTTTCTTTTGGAAAAAACTCATAAGCAATAAGTAATCTATTTCAGACTCTTCTAATTTCAAACGGGAGACGTTCATCTCGGTATGAGCGCCCAACTGAGCTTTAAGTTGTGTAAAGTATAACAGTTAAAAGATGTGGCTCCGCAGTTCTGAGCATTTCTGGGTTCTGTTTGTCGCACGGGCAGTTAATAAAGCAAGCAAAAGAATCTTCCAGCTCTTCTGCATTACCGATACTTTTAAACTGTTTTATTTTGTTGTATATATATGTGTGTATATTTAGAGGGTACGCTTTAATATTATTAGTTTAAAATGTTGTGCTGCTAGTACCCCAAAGGATCTTGTGTTTCTTTGAAAAGGATGACAAAAATCAAACAGATGTTTTGGGAACAATTTTTTTTCACTCAAGTCTTTTTAAAGCTCTCCATGATCCTGATACCTCAAAGATGCAGCAGGTAATTTTTCAGTTGATCTGCTAGACGAAATAGTGTTGTTTCTTACTTTGTCAGCTACAATGTTATTTTTTCCAACTATTGCAGCTTATCTGCTTCAGTTCTTTGGCGTCGATCGTTTTGAGCTATCATCTAATCTCTCCTACACTTCTGTTGTCTAATTTACTTGTGTTCAGCAGTTTTGTAGAAGGAATCAAAGTGTAGTCTTTAGCATTTTTAGTCCAATTTATGCGTTCCCAATAATCATCTTTGGTGCAAGAATAAACACTGCCTTCACTCATTCTCGGCACATTACAGTTAATTTTTTTAATTAGAAGGAGCGAAAGAAACAGCATTAGTTTGTTTGGAGTTGCCATCATCGTAAGCAGTCAGCGGTAGTGCTCATTCGGTCATTTTCAGGATAGTCTTCGTCCGGAGGCTGTTAGGAACAGAGTAGCAAGAATCCTCTTGAAGCGTAACAATCCTACTCGGAGACGGAGGCTTAGACAGGACTAGCTAAGGTTTTAGGAAATGGGACATGCCTGAGGCATCAGTTTGAGTTAAGTATTGCTCAACGGATATTTTAAGGAGCGTTGTGTCCTACAGATTTCTTACCTTTATGAAATCAATACTCCTTTTTGTTTAGTTTGTTTCCACTCTATCAGTTCATTTATCGCTGGTCGTTAATGGAAACTCAAATTTGTTCAGATTTTGTAAATAAGTGATTAATGTTTCATGGGTATTACTTTAAAGTTCATTAAACGGGTATGTAGCCACGGTTTGATTTTGATCTTTGTATCAGTGGAAGGTGAATAGTCATTTTTTAAGATGTCTATTTTTCTTTCTGTCAACTTCTTTTCACTCTCTTGCCTTAGCTGTATTTAAAATACCGTCATTTGTCAATTGTTCATGACTGTATCCTTTACTGCGTGAGCTTTTGACACTGTTAATATTAATGGTGCTAAGTCACGTAGCTTCAATTCATTGATACTACTGAAGTTGAAGCAAATAAATGTTTGATAAATAACTACAGTTACGGCTTATGAACGAACAGCGGAATGAAACTGGAAGGAAGTGTTGTCGCAGAAGTGTAGAAGAGAAGCTATATTACTGTACAAGTATTAAAAATCAAAATCTGATTTAAAATTTTTGGGTCAACCACAATTTTGGAAGTAAAGGTATGCATAATGGGCAAGTATGAATGACCTGTTATAAACTTTTTGTCTTATAAGGATTATAAAAACAATATGGCGTTTAGTCTTAATTTTCAAACGTGGTAGCAAGCGATGAGGAGGTATGATGATGCCATAGATTGAAAAAAATATTTAGTGTGTCCAAAGGCGAGATACAGTAGTTTGGGATTTGCTCTGTACATCAGCTTTTATATAAGACAGCTGTTACGACTGACCAAAAATTGCTAACATGTTAAAAATCAAAAATTTTATTTTTTTTTCAGCTTATTACTGCTTTTTCTCACACTATTTGATTTTAATAAGTTTGAAGGATTCTGAGTAGTTACAACACTTATGTTTATTTCTTTGAAATTACTGGTTTACACTTGATGAAATCTTTAGGGACTATAATTGTAAAAAATTCTGTAACCAAGATTAAAATAGTCTATGAAACCTTCAAATCATTAAATAGATGCTATTTATTAAACAGCTTTCTTGTCCAGATTTTTACTGAGTTTGGGTATAATTTTTAGAACGGCGATTGCTGTTGAATACAAAAGCGCAAACATTGTTTAGGTAAATCGGCGATAAAAATTAGAAGACCAACTCTTTGCAACTCGTTTGAACGAAAGAAGTTGGTAAAAGGCTCTTGAGTCAGTTTCTCAATGATTAAACTTAATTATTCAATTTTAATTTGATAAGTCAACGAATTGATACGGTGAAGTGTAAAAAAGACCTAAACTATTGAGATATCTTTTTAAAGCAAAAAAAAGAGTAAGCAGTCTAATCCGTAGAATGATCAGTAAAAAATTTTACAAATAATGTCAATTCTTTCTTTCTAATTTAGGTGTGGTTGTCAGAAACAAACTATTTGGCATGCATTTTCTCTATTTTTACACCTTAAATTGGTAAACTACTGCTTTTCTATTAGTTGGAGGATTAGTGGAGTGATCAAATTTTATCAATACTGTCATTTTTGACAACTACTAAACTACCAATGCTATTATTGAAGTACGAACAAACCTGTTTTTTTTATTTTTTACTATAAAAATTTTATTAATTTAGACTTTTGTACATTAATTATAATATTCAATAACAGCAGTAAAAAAGTTTTTGGTGTGGAACCTGTCACAAGACCTTAATTTCATCTTAAAGTAACTGTACAAGGTTTATTATAAAAAAAAAATTATGCTGATATTGATATTTGCTAAAAGTTTTTGAAGTTAAATTTATTGAGAGGTACTTAAGACTACCAGACACTCATAATGAGATAAGACTAATCTGTGGATTTCTCACTTAATATTATCCTCATTCAAAAGTAACACTTATAACAGAGGCCAAATTAGGAAGTTCAAATGCAACATTTTTTTGCAGAAAGTGTTTACAAAAATTTATCAAATGCGGCAAACGATTAGCTCCCATTTTTTGACCAGTGAATTTTGCTTTTAAAGACATTTTGTTTATGATACGATAATAGTTTTGAACCAAGCCTAAACTAAAATGAATGCTTAAGTTTTGACAGAAAAGAAAAAAACGGCAAATTTTTATGGACGACATTTTCTTCTTTCAGATGACATTTTAAGACAATTTTGCCTGTAAATAAAATATAATTCCGATAATTTAGTGCTAGTTTTAAAGCGCTCAATTACCTAAATATTTTAGGTACAAAAAAAAATAGCAGATCATGTGTCTTGTCAAAGTAAATAATATGGATCGGGGAGCCTTAACAAGTCATCCGCTTGTTCAACAACATTTATCTTGTTTAATCAGCAGGAAAAAAAAAAGAGGAAGAAAGTCTTTGCGGAAATTGTTTTTTTTTTGTTTTTTTTTTTGTTTTTTTGTTTTTTTTGCATAAGGCTTTACAGTTTTTATTTGGTATGGCCAATGTTTAAAAGAATTTGACTGGCACATCAATTGATGATTAAAATTGCTGTTAAATGAACTGATATACAGGTTTGTGAATTTTTCAATGTTTAATAAAATTTTTTGAAAATTTTTGACAAAAATTAACTGGATATTTTTAGCTTTTTTTTTTGTTTAAAATTCAGAAAAAACATATTGTAAATTTTACAGGTATCTTTGAAGAGTTATAAAAACATACAATAGACGAAGTGTTGAACAACAACAGTGCAGTTAAAGAAAGGTAAGAAGACAAATAATAACTGAGATAAATAAGAAATACCTCATAGGCATACAGTATGCTAACTTAGGGTTACCATTTTTGTTGTGCTTTTTTCGCCTTATGAGTTGTCTCGTATTAAGCCCACTCTTAGCCTTATGTAAAATTACTGTTCAAAAAGTTTTGATTATATCAATTAATGCATTTCGGTGATAAATTTTTGTTCACATGCATTACCTGCTAAAAAAAAAAAAAAAAAACTAGACTATATATTTACTTGCCAACATTTATTTCGCTAATCACTTTTGTCTGGTCAGACCAGTAACGATAATAGGCATTCTGATCAGACCAGAAAGTAAGAAGAAGAAAAGGAAAGCGAAAATTGATGCGAAATGGTAAGATGAAGTAGAAGGAGACCAGAAAAAAAAAAAA